TTCAGCATGAAGGGAGAGGAGAGATGGGCCCCAATTCCCCCCAGTAAGAAGCACATGGATGAGGCCTGTGGCATGGAGGACCACCACAGTGAGGAGTTGTTTATGACTGAATAACATCCAGTCTGGTCTGCGGGGGCTTAACACCAACTCTTTCCTTTCTTCTTCTAATATTTCTCCATTTTCCTCTCCTCCCATCTCCATATGTCTCTCTCCTTGCCTCTCCGTCTCATGCCATCCGTACCTCGCCACATTCATCAAGGCTGCAGACCTGATCAATAACCGCTGGCCTTTCCTTCCATCCGACTCATAGGCGCACACAAGTGGTCTTATTGCTGATGTAACGATCGACTTATCGGGTCATTTGACCGCCTACTTTGTTACTGCTGGCTGATTGGAGCCTGGGGGGCATTCAGAGATACGAAGTGGGCTAGGGAGGAAGGAGATGAGCAAAGGATTGCAAATTGACTGTAGGTAGACCATGAGGGTATGAAGCAGATGTATGGAGCAGCGTTGACACCCTCCCAGAACGTTGCTGCACACCAAGGGAAATTTCTTTGTAATACTTCTGTATCGTTTATCAGAATTATCATGCAGTCAGAATGACACGCCGGCTTTTGCCTAATTAGCATGTTTGCTAAAATCCAATTAGATGTGAGCACCAGACAGACGGACAGACAGAGCCGAGCAGACTGCCCGGGAACCAGCCAGAGAGTACAGCTGCGCTGCTTTGTGGTAATGAAGTCACTGGTTTCCAAATAGCAAACAGAGGAAGCCAGAGTGAGATACAGCTGTCTGCAGTCTGTGCCGCAGCCTCTGTGTCAGCTGGGCTGGGGGGGGGGGGGGGGGGCAGACAGAGCGAAGGCTGTTCCCTCCGTCCGACTCCTCTGACTCTGGGCCAGCTAGACGCTGCAGAACAGGGCCGAGGCAAATAGGCAACACATGTCAGGGGGGGGTTGTGCTCGCATGGCGTAAATGTGGGAAGTTTATTCTTTTTACCTAAGGGGAAAAGAACCGACTAGTTTAACCATGTGAAATGTGTGTTTGGGTGTTTTGCAATGCTTGGCTAAAACGAGGACAACTGATGCAGCAAATCCGAATGTGTTGTGATACTTCCTGTCTTCTTTGAAAACCAAATAAAGGAAAGAGAAGAAACCAAAAACAAAACACATGACGCCACCTGATGTCTGTCTGACTGTTGAGTATGAGCGACTGTCAAAGGCTGATGTGGCCAAAATGAGACCATTGTTTGTGGAGTACCAAAATAATCTGTTTAATAAGGCTTCGGCTCGATGCTGCTGTCTGTTTGTGGCGTCCGTCAAGCAAATTCTATTTACACAGCAGCGATCTGCAGACAGGGCAGCCGGCCCTGCAGGCACAAGGCGCCATTTACGGAGCGCAGGTCCCAGAGCTTTTAAATGCACCTACTTAAACCGAACACTCCCAACAGGATATGGGACTTTCTAGCCATTTGAGAGAGAAAGAAAAAACAACTTCCAGAGGGCGGTTTTTGCCTGGGTCCCATCTCATCACCCTCTGGTAAGAACTGAACCGCCAGTAAAAGCTCACATTGACGCCATGTGTCAATAAGGGGGGTCCATGTTTAAGGTTAGAACCAACACAGGAAGATGCCAGCCATTTTTTTAAAGGCATGCGTTGCTGTATGGCCGGCCTTCTACTCACATCCACTGGGATATGGAAAAACTGAGTCACTCAGCCGGTGGAGGCGGCTGGACACCAAGAGTCTGGAGGATGTTCAGGGGCTGAGAGACATGTCCTCCTGGCTTCCTCTGCGCGCACATATGAACTCATTTACGCACAAGGTCAGGCTGTACTCGGAGAGGAAGCGCTGCGCTGTGACAAAGTGAAGTGGGACGCTATGGGGTCACCTTGTTCTCTAACTATTGACCTTTTCTACACTCATACATCCGCTCTCAGGCGGAGGGGGAGCGGCGGAGACAGGAGTCATCAAAAATCACCTGCTTCCTGGAGGACCTCCATGGTGGAATCTCTCCAGGAACATGTTCCATTGTCTCTTTCTATTTCTCTGAAAACAGATGTGCATTCAAAGCCAAAGTCAAATTCAACTTCAAACAGCAACATAATCATCCAGAAAAATTAAGACAAATTTAACCCTGGCATAAATTCTGTTGCTTTGGATCCTTATCCACCCAAACAAACAAAGGTCTACTTAGGATTACTAGCAGTAACCTTTTACTTATTTTATCACAGGAGGTTTAAATAGCTTATGATTCCATGTGCTCTAAAAGAGTTTGCAGAAAACCAGCCCAAACATCACAGGTCCACTACTGTGCTCACAGTTGGTATTAGGTGCTTTTTCACCCATTCAACAGCTGTTTTAAATCACACCCACTTAGAGATGGTGCCTTTAAAAAGCTTTAGCTTTGTCCTGGATCTGTTAAAAATGTGGAATGGTCCTTTAATGTAGGACCAAACTAACAAAAAGAAAACAAATACAGCAAGTTTTAGAGCTAGGGAATTAGAAAATTAATTAATTGGACTTTTTGTTTATAAAGATTACATCTTTGGAAAATCTGATATTTTTCCCTACATCAGTTCATCACTTTATGCTCTTAAAATAAGTTATTTTCATTATGAAAACAGCCTAGAATAGTTTCGGATATGGCATGGGGCAAAGAAAAAAAAATTGGAGATTAGATTTTTAAGCCATTTCAACCAGCCCAACCAGATTGTTTTATATTATTAGAAACTTGTTGGGAGTTCCCAGTGCCAAGGAAAGGAGGCCCACAGCAACATGCGCCCTACATCATACCTATAGCTTGTGACGTACACTCCAAGGAGAAGGAAATATGCTAATTCCCCCACAGCTATGACTTTGGGGCGCACGCAGAACTGAGTAAAATGGTAATGTAATGAATAGTACTGAAGATCAGCTGGCCAAGATCGTGGGAATTTTTTGTTTCTTTTTTTTTAAACACGTCTTTAACAGGAGCACAAACAGAGGCCACCTTTAGGCAAAACGTCATCACCACCAGCGCTGACGTTAAGCGAAAGAGTGTGGAAATCACCTCAGACAGAAGACAGCACCTCAAACTGTGGTGCGACTCCAGAGCGCCTGACAAAGTGTGAGACAGAGAGACTAAAATTGTGTCACACCGGCCTCCAATTATCTGCTTTTCACACATACACACACACGTAGAGCAACGGCGTCTGACACAAAAAAAAAAACCCACAGAGATGATAGGATTTATAATCTAACATGACATACAGATGCTTCTGTGCTTTTGTCGCCTGAGTCCATTTTTTGTTCCCTGCAATTCTTTTATTCCTCTGTGGTAATAAAAATGTATTTTTCCCTTCTGAGAAGTTAACGTCTGAAACCTCAGAATTGCAGATTTGGGAAGGGGAGGGACAGGAATGCGGTCAGGATGCGAAGGGGAGACAGCAGACAGCCTTTTCCGCACGCTCCGATCTAACCAGACACGGAAGAGGAAAATCATTTTGTCAATTTCACATCCACAAACATTGACGCGTTTCTCCCTTTACTCTAGCGATGCACATAAAGCAGGAGCTTTGTAAGGAGAGGTGACAAATAAACCATGTTGGTGAGGGGTGTTGGTTTTGCTTTGAGTCTAAGGGGGGAAAAAAATATCTGCATTTGTGCATCAAAGGGGCGAACAAACCACAGAAACAGACAAAAACATCCAGAAACAATACAAGATTGGGGGGAGGGGGGGTCCCGCTGTGGTCAAAGGCAGGTCAGGAGACATAAAGCACTTCATGGCAGGGAGAGAAAATCTACAGCTTTTCCCTCAGCGGCTGTTGACTTTTTTATAGACTTGCTGGCCTTGTGGCTTTGATCATATATTGACATGTTGGGTTTTTTTTCACCCTGCAGCAACAAGATAGAACAAGAACGACTATCAGGCAATCAAGAGCCTCATAGATGAGCTGAAGAAATTGAATGAAGCGTTTTTAATTTCAGGTTGGCCTCCAGCTTAAGGAGTTCTAGAAAACGCCTACAGAAAAAAATGTACATCCCCAGATTACTTAACAAAAACAAAGTGGATTTAACAGAACTGATGAAAATGTGTGCTAGAAATAAGAGACTATCACCAATCCTGATGAGCGTCATCATCCACTGCTGACCCCCCCCCCCCCCCCCCCCCCCCCAGCAAAAGGAACAAATGATGCGCTTCCTGCTCAACTGTGACCAGCTGGACTAACTTAGGTCTGATCAGACCCGGTGAGGCAGATGTCACCACCTGCCCCAAGACTCAGACACACTCTGGGTCAATGCTGGTTTAAAAAAAAAAAAAAAAAGGCAGTCTGCTTCAGCCTAATAAACAAGCCACATATAGGTCAAACTACAACCAACCGGAAACATAAAACAAACATAAAAAAAATACGAATCAGTTTTGATCAATAAAGACAATAAGAGAAGTAGGATTAGAGACCAGAACCTGACGGTGTTTATCTGGATCAACTGGTCAGAAAAAAAACAACAAAAAAAAAACAGTGCTTGATCCAGAGCCAAAAAGCCGTTATGTCTAATCAATCCAATCACAGTAAATGAAGAAACCTTTAGTGTGGATCCTGGTAAAGAGTAAAGAAGATCCAATGTGACCCTACTAATTAGAGTATTACTCAGTACTTTATAAGCATGATTTATTACTAAGTCCTTACTGATATGTAAGATGTATCTTAAGGAAAATATACTTGCTACAGTATGTGGAAACAGGGTTTACTCCAGCTGCAGCCAAGTGAGAGAGTAATATTCCTAGCAGATAACAGGAAGGCTAAATGCAATACAACAAATTAGATCTGCACTCTTCTGTTAGTTCTTAAATAGAAATCAGACTCGACAGGTCAAAATTTTTGAAGAATCTTAGGTTGACCACACAATTCATCTTTGTCAATGTCTAGGTATTAGCGTTGTCATGGAGATTTCACGGCATGCTACACAAAACAATGCCACAAACAACTGACAGCAGGTTTTTTTTTTTCAAAGGGAAACTTACTTTATCGAGGGAACTCTTCAGCTGATAGTGAAACTTCTCTTTGACCTCGTCCAGCAGCTTCTTGAGTCTGGGCTCCTCGGGGGTCCCCTGGTACTTCCTGGCAAGCTGCAGGTAGCAGGGCCACTTGGCTGAATCAAAGCCCCAGTGGCAGGTCCTCTTATCAGGTGACTTGTGCGAATGCATGACAAACTTCTGTGGCGAAAAGAGCAGCTGGCATTCGACGCACTGGATGCATGGCGCCTCAGGCTGAGTGTAGAACTGCGGCACGAAGAGGCCCTGACATTTGCCCAGACACTGGTGCTCCACCTGGAAGCTGGCCTCACTCTCCTTCAGCAGGCCCTGAGCCAACAGCTTGCCACTGGGGTCAGTCGGCAGCACAGCCCCGGGACGCAGGAGGGCGTTGCATAGCCGCTGTGCGTCCGTCAGAGTGATGAGGCCGCAGGATGGTGCGTTAAAGGGCAGAATGCCCAGCACCTTGAGAATGTGCAGCTGCTCGGCGTCACAGCGAGAGCAGTAGACGTAGAGCTCGTCGCACACAGTATTGATCTGCTGCAGTGAGAAGTCCCGCAGCACTGAGTTCAGCACCTGAGGCAGGCAGAGCCGCTTCTCGCCACCGACGACAAAGCAGGAGATGGACTCTCCTTCCAACAGGGAGTGGGTGAGCTCATTGGAGCTGTCGCAGGGAACCAGAAGGGGACCGCCTCCTAAAACAGGCGGGGAAGGCAAGGGTGGCATTCCAGCAGGAGAATGCTCGTGGCCTGTACGGGCCGAGAACGCAGCGGGGCCCCCGAGGGAGCTCTGGCTGCTGAGGGTGAACTGGGCCAACGTGTGTTTGAGACCAGGACTCAGGTCCAGAGCTTTAGCCGAGCCCACGAGGTATGGATCGCCCCGGCTGTCAATGTCCAGCTCGGCCTCGCGGTTCCGATCTTCTGTCTGCTCCTTCTTTACCTTGGCGGGTTTTGGGACGGAGTCCAAGCCGCGCCTCTTCAGGTTGATCTCCGCCATCACTCGCTTCTTTATGGGAGCATCCTCCATCCGCTCCCTGTACAGCCTCTTCCAGTTTCCTTTAAATGAGGTCAAGTCTTTAAAAGGTGTTTTCAAACTGGTCTGGGTGCTGGCCATTTCCAAGTACTAGAATTACTGCACTCCGCTTTTGCTTCTGTTTTCTGGTTCTCGTTTTCCTTTTTCCCTCCTCGAGTCTTTTCTAATTGATACAAGTCTTCCGGTAGCTGGAAACATGCATGATGGTTCCGTAAGTTCTAAAGGTTCTGATCCGAAGTCTGTAAACACAGGAAAGAAAGAAAGAAAAAGGAAATGAGAAGACTTTTCAAACAGAACCTTGCAAAATTGACAGCTAATGTTACAACCGCAAATTTAAATACATTTTATCCTGATTTTAGAAGCTAGACTACCAAAATTACAGCAAATAAATGTTACGTTAAAGGAAAAATGATGCATGGTTTCCTGAGTCAATGCTTTGGGGACTTTAACTGGACTACTCTACCTCCGATAGGTTTTTGTCTCCAGCACCATCTGTGTTTCCATTATTTCTATCACTTTGCTGTCCGAGGGGCTGAAACAGCAAGCCAAATGCAAGATGCTGCCACCAGCACTTACTCTACAAACATACAAAGGTTTCAAAGCAAAGCTGTAATACCAACGTTAAGACATTCAGACTCTTAATTAGGCGACTACTGAAGGTTTAATTTAGGGCTATCAGAGTTAAGAAGGGTTGAACAGATATCCAAGGCACACTTTTCAGATTTCCATTCATAGAAGTGTTTAAAAACCACACATCATTTTCCTTTCACATTACAGTTAGAGAACTATGTGTTTATCTCCAGCATCCAATTCTAACAAATACAGAGGGTTTTTGTGGTTGTCAAAATTTAACACATACAGAAGTTGAATGGTCATTTTTCTCATCCAAACCACTGTACATTCTGTTCCTGATTCTCATTAAAAAATTGTTACAGAGCATGAAACATCCATAAAGAGTGTCATGTTTTATGCTTCCCCTGCTTTGGGCTGCAGAGGGCAGAGGCTGCCAGCATGGTCCACTGAACCAAATGGCCATTAACCCACTTCACACAAACACAGGACCAAAAAAAATTTACATCAAGCAGTCCACCAAAGGGTTTTAGAACAGAGTTCTCAAATGCAAAGTGAGAATTTTAACAAACCAGTTTGCCAAGACTTGGCAGGGTGAGATCCTCCACCGCCCTGCCCCCTTTAGCTCATTACATTGTTAATGGGGAGGGCTGACTCACAATGGCTGAGAAAAAAAAAATCTCATTTTGCAAATGAAAGCGTCCCTTCCCATGCATTCACACTCTGCCGTCTCTTCGGCCTGAAATTCCCATTAAAAACAAATAAAATACCCGGTCAAGACTTTCCTCCCTGTTTTCTCCTCTGGCCCAAAGCCAGCAGCAATCCGCTGGTCACTATTTAAACTGTGGCAACACTAAACAAGACAAGGAGTTTGAATTTTAATAATTTTTTGTAAGCCACTAGTCACACGGATCCATTTATTATCTCTCAGGTTATCAGTTTGCATGGTTGCAGGCGTTTAAATGCAGTATAATCTGTGGGCTACAGGGAGCCACCTTCTGGGGGCTCCTTTGATGACAGCAACGCCGGTATCCGATCAGAAGCTATAAGTAGGTACTTGACTGAAGGGCTTTAAATGAATCTGTTTGAATCAGAGCCAGAAAAAAGGGTGCTTTTTCACTTCTTCATCTAATGAGGTCAAGAGGCCTGGTGAAGCTTTAAAAAATATTTATAATAGGAGCTGTATTTTAACAGAATCTGTTAAGTGTTATATGATTCTGTCCATGTTGGAATTGTCTGATGTTCATGAGGAACCCACAAATGTCTTAATAATTAGCATTTGAATAAAAAAAAAATAATATGTATGTCTTTAACGTTTTTCTGTCCAGGTTTAACCTGTTTCTGTGTCGTAGTTTATAACTGGAGCCCATATATCACTAATGAAGTAAAGTCAAAAATAAATCCTTAAAATTTCTCTTTTAAATTCTCCTCTTTTTACCCAAATACAATCAAAACAGCTGCATTTGTTGTTTTTCTGCAGCAATGACAGGTTTAAACTGCAGCGCGTCATTCATGCAGAATAATTATGTCAAATTGGAAACCAGCAATAATTTTACTTTTACAAACAAAATCAATTACTGTATTTTATAGATAATCCGATTAGTGCAGTTCTAGTCGGTCCGAACATGAGCTGCATTGTTGATTTTAATGTGGGAAACATTTAAAAAGGGTCAATCCTTGAGTTTCCATCGATTGAACGTAACCAGCTCCTGCATCAAGGTGTCCTTCATGTCTTAGATGTGTCCCTGTTTTAAAATGGTTTGATTCATGTGTGTTCAAACGGGGCCAACACATTGGCCCCTGAGGATTGCTGTCTGATACCGCTGGAAAATAAAAGATTAAACTGTATTTCAGATCAACTGTCATTAATGTAAAATAATCCTTCCCAACTTTGAGTTGTCTAGAGCACTGTATACAGGGGCGAAGCGAGATGGGGGGCCAGGGGTGGCCATGCCCACCCCTGGCCCCCCTACCATTTTTCCCCCTCTAATACAGATAGTGGGAGCAGTACTAATCTTAGGTGGAATATTCAAAACGTTTTAATTTTTCATATGTTAACAGTTACTTGACAACAACAACACTGTGGTTAATTATGCAGATCAATATACTAACATAAAAGATGAAAAATACAGAATCCCTGCTCTTTTCAGAACTTGTGTTATTTGGTAAGGAGAAAATGATGCGTCTCTGCAAATGATCTAGGAGACTTCAGTGAAATCATAGCTAAAAAATAACTATTTTAATAAAAACATATTAAATAATCAATTTATGTAGATATTAATACTTGTTCATATAAATTTTATGCAGAATGATTATTGATAAAAGTAGGGAAGTAATTACAATAAATAGGATGTTCACCCCAGAACTCAAACCTGAAAGAATTTTATCCACTATACCTTTTATCTAGAAAGCACAGATGTTTAAATATATGTCTATTTGTTAGCGAAGGCTTTAGGAATGTATAGTTAAAGCCAATTTATGCTTCTGACACATAGCCTCTGCAAGCATCAAATCTGTCTCTGTGCACCCAAAAAAAAAACCTGACTACACGTCAGACAGTCGCATCGGCGCAGACCTCAAGCGGAAGTGCACGGACCAAAAGCAGCTGTGATTGGTCCTTGGTAAGCCTTTCTGGCTGTCTGTGTGGTCGTCCTTCTCGATTCGATGCCGGGGGGCGTCGTTTTTTAAAAACCGAGGAGTAACAACATTGGAAAACCACGACGAAAGGTTGATAGAGAAGGTTTGGATCTACAACCACTTGTACTATGCCTCAGAAAATTTTGGAAAAATAAAGACTCCCGCCGACGCCGTTGAAGAAGTCCTTGTGACCATCCGCCGAAGTTCTTCCAATAGGATCCCCCTTGCGCTTTGGTGGGAAACTGCTGTGCGGCCTTAGAAATTCCAGACCGACGTTGCAGAAGCATACCAGCAAAACTGGTTCCCGACATTTGATGTGTGCGGTTGCAGAAGTCTAATCTGCCCTTCAGTTTTTATTTAGAAAATATGGATGCTGTGGTCGTTCATTTTCCTGTGTAGGTGTAGATTGACCCTGAGGTTCTGGTGCCTGGCCACCCTTAGTCAATTTTCTGGCTATGCCTCTGCCTGTATAACATGTTAAATTGAATCCATCAGAGATGTTGGAAAGAATATGGCTCTTATAATAAAAAAAATGAATAGCTTAATTTAATGCAGTGATTGAGCATCATCTGTTCTTCTGTGATTCAGCATCTTTGCTTCATCAGACATCAACTGAAGAGATTCAATTAAAGGAAAATGTGGATCTGGTTCACAGAACCGTAAACCTCCTAAATGTCGCTCCCTCCACTTCTAGTATCATTTTTTTGCTGCAAGGACACCGCGTAATGCCCTGCTCCTACTCCTCCTCCTCCTGCTCCTGGTATGCAGACAGTGCTGATAATGACATTCACTGTCTGCTCCAGTCTGCTCCGCCACTCGCCGCTCCTCTGCTCGGGTTTCCGACCGCGGTGTTTATCGGACTGCGCTGCGGTCGGAAACCAAACTGGAAATATTCCACTTTTTAAGCGTGAAATCGCTTTAGAAACGGAGAAGCGGTGGAGTAAATGTGCCGTTTCACTTATTAAAAGAAAAAAGGGGGCAAGGAGAAATGAATGAGCAAAAAAAGAAAAAAAAAAAGAAAAGAAATGATGAGCTCAGTCCGATTTGGGAATGAGAGAAAATCCCGGAGCTCTCAGCAGGAGCTCAGACACAGACAGCCGGAGCTGAAGGAGCTGCTGTCCGCTCCGACACTCTCAGACACCGAGCTTCATTTGGACCAACCTCCGCGGCACAGTGGCCGATAATACGGCAGGCTAAAGGAGATTAGCTTCACCCTATCTCCGGAGTTCAACCGTAAATCACTAAACTATAAAACGCCCCCCTTTCTCTAACCGATTTGTTTCCAAACTATATTTCTATTTATTTTTTTTTTTTTAGTAACCGTTATTTATAGTAAGCGACACTTGCCTGAACGCCGTCCACCTCGTCCTCTCCGCTCGGCTCCTTCTCAGCACTGGAAAAGCCTCGCATGAAGGAGATGCAGATAGAGGCTCCACTACTGGCCCGCAACGTCACACCGCACACTGCCTGAGAGGCGGAGACGTCACCCGGCTGACGGAAACTATGCGGGGGTGTCTGTCGTCTGTCGGTCCTCCTGTCTGTCTGTCTGTCTAGCACGGTCTGGGACTTGGGATTTTTATTTTTTCGCCCTCCGGCCGTGCGGAGCAGATGTCAGGGGCGCTTCTAGAAACTTTGGGTTTTCGCCTGTACATAGAGTAGGTGTTTGAGGCGGTGTTGCTGTGGTCAAAGTTTGGATTAAAAACTAACCAAAATCATCCTTTTAATCTGCATATTTACAATAGAACAGAATAGAATAGAATTAAACGGAATAGAACGGAATATAATAATAGAAAAAAGTAGAATGTAATACAATACAATATAATATAATAAAATAGATTAGAGTACAAAAGAATATAATAGAATAAAATAGAGTAGAATAGAATAGAATAGAATAGAAAATCC